ATCCGTCTGTGAAACAATTACTACTATAGTCAGTGTTTAATAGTAACTATTAGGGTGTAGTAGGCTACCAAAAGGCAAAATCAAAACCGTGTTTGCCCAATTAGTCGCATGACACAAGTTAAACTATTGGGAACTAATATTATATAATATCTAGTATGTAATAGTACAATTCGTATTCACAGACGGATGAAAATGACTCTATTGCGGAGTTTAGCACTATATTGTTAATACTTTTTCACGGTTTTAGTGTTTGCGCTCTACTCGTGAACTATTATCAACACAAATGTATAATTAAAGTGACCACTTACCTTCACGAAGCCCCCAGTATTCCAGTACTCCACCTCAATCATGTCAAAAAAGATCGGAATGGTCGCCTTTCTGAGTTCTTCCTGGGGAATCAATGTCATTTCCAGGAAAGGTCCGACAAGATCTGGAATGAACTTAGTCTTGTGGGCTCCTAAGATACCAACAGATATTTGAAAGTCAAAATACGATAAGGCAACACTGAATATCGGAAAAATAAGGCTTTCGAGTTGAACCCTTGGGAAATTTTCTACTTGCGTTAACTTCTTTAGCAATTATATCAAATGCCCTGAGTTTCCTAGAAAGTGAAATAGTTTTGTAAAACTCATGAATAATTAATGAGTAAAACACAATACAAATCACAACCGTGAAGAGTGTTGTAATATTTGATACAAAACTGTCTTGATTTGCATAAACTTCAAATCTAATTTTCTCAGCCAAATTCAATTTTATCTTTAAGTTTTTAGTAGATTATGAATGTATACATCTAAACGTTTCACAAGTAATTTACAACATTCGCGTCCGTGTTGTATGGGCTTTACAATCTCTCGCCTTAACATTACATACGATGTCTTTTACCTAGGAAATCCCACATTTCATTGATCTTGAATCCAATGAAGGTCCTCATGTCGCCATATCTAAATATGCAAATCAAAACAAAAAAAATAAAAGTTTAAAAGTTTTCTTTTGGTTAGGCGCAGCAAAGTGAAAACAAAGCTCACACAAAAAGAAAGAACGTCCAGGAATTTGTCCCTGTAGCGATAGATTTCTTTATACATTCAAGGATATTAAAATTGTGGCATACCAAATACTTCATCATTTGCGATCCACAGAAAACTTTTAAATCCTTCTAATTAAAATGCGTTCTTTCGTTCAGGTAACTTTCGAATCACCGCGCGACTAGACTCCTCCACAGTCTCTTGTTTTTCTTGGTCGAAAGGAGACTGTGGAAGAGACTACCACGAGAGTTGTTCCCAGACCTCTAAGTGTGAAAGTCGAGATATTGAAGATAGAGCGGATTTCGTATGAGTGGGACACCGTTAAAGCACGGTTACCGCTCAGTTACCGCACCTGGCCTGCAGAATTTTGGTGAAACAATGGGGCACTAGAATTTGGTTACAGTACGATTACGGTCACAGTACAGTACCGTCCGTTTCCCACTCATACGAAATCCGCTCTATGAAATGCCAAACGTTCTTACTTCTCGCGGATTCGCTCTTGTTTTGCAATTCTGAAATTTTCCAGTTGCAAGGACTCTTGTGTGATGAAGGCAATAGCCAAGTGGAAGAAATTATTCCAAAGCTAAAAGAGGAACATGAAAAAGTACTTTCAAGCGAAAGATTAGATGATCAAACAACATTAAACTATTGGAGGGTTAGGCTTACCTGAAAATCAAAATTATCACCACGCAAGAACATGCTACAAAGTGCACCTGAGAARTTTTGGATCGCACTCAAGATGACCCTGGGAATAAAAACATATGACATTATTACTAAACACGTGAGAAACAAAGGTCTTTGATTGGTTAACGAGAAAGTGAGGTAAATACAAGCGTTTTGATTGGAAGAAGTGGTCACATGGTAAGACTGCTTTTCAATCATAAAAAAAAACAAGTTTGTTCCCAGAGTATTCAGTTTCATGGACAAAGGCAAGTTGAAAAGCACATTTACAGAAGATTGGCTGCGTGTTTTAGGAATAAATCCCTATGTTTAAATCCTTTGAAGGCTAACCTAAAACCATATCAAAATGGACAGATTGAAAATGATGAAATCCGGTTTTCGCCAAAGTAAAATTCTGAGTTTTGATTGGTCAAGTATACATAAACCGGTCCAAACCTGTTTTGCTGCATCAGCATGACGACCCAGTCTTTAGGATACACATTGCAGCTCACAAAATCACGGAAAAGTAGAAACAACTCAATGAGAAAGTCCTGAAAACGAGTAAAATTGTAAATAAACAAAAGCAAAGCTAACAAAACAAATAACTATGTCAGAAACTTACCCGCAACAGCTCCAACGAGCTGAAATTACTCATGTACTTCTGAAAATGATCAGCGTTCATGAGCTGAAACATGGCGGTGAGACAAGCCACGTACTGTCGCTGAAGAAAAGAAAATACAATCACATTTACTGCATGGCAACGCGAATTTTCGTACATTCCCAACGGTTCGCGCAATTCCGACCGGATTTTACGCTAAAAAGGACTACCACTGTAGAAATTCTACTTTTCCCGCTTTTTTTTTTGTTGTTGTTGTTGTTCTTCCGGATGACGCTCGCGCACCATTTGAATTTCCCGCTCTTTTTGCTCGGAACAGCTAAATTTTGTTATGTTACCAACTGGTGCATTTTATGAATTTTACAATACTTTTACAATACATATTTCAATTGGAGAATTGCGTTCTACGGAATTACAAACCGAATTAAAAACGACATGCGAAAAGCGCCCAGCTCTAAATGCTAGGTAAAACGGTGGTATTTCAACTAACCGTGATGTGCTGTTGTCTGTCCATCCTGACGACTGCCTTCACAACGACTTGTAGCAACGACGTGGCAAGAAACAAGATGTCTTCGTGTGTCATTCCCTGATAATTATTGGACAATTATTTTTAATCATTAAAATACTGATTTTACTTATAAATCTAATGTGGTTTTGTACAAGGAGTAGAGGTTGGCTACACAGAGTGGAGCCCCAATCAATTACATCCCTAAGTCATGAGTTGAGTAAGGTGGTCAAGGAAAGGCTTTGTTACGCCTTCAGCGGTTCTTGTATGCTTCCCTAATATTGCTTAACACTCTTATCCGAAAAGATGTTATAATCTAATCATTTTAAGGTGCAGAAACAAAGTCACCAACATCTCCTCAATTATTCTAAGACCCTAATTAGTGATTATTTGCCAAACTGGCCTTTAGTACACTCCAGTGCGCAAGAATAGTCTTATTTAATGTTCTTTCAAATCATTCTCAATACGCCGACTTTTCAAAGAAGCTTTGACCTCCGCTATCTTGATATATTTATCAATACCATGATGCACTTCGCCGTCACGAAGTCTTAGAGAGTAAAACTAACTGTCTAAAATGTTTGACTTACCACGTCTGTTCTCATGAGAGTTATCAAGATGTTGCTCAAGATGTCGATACATATCTTCATTTCTTCGCTTCTCTCCATCTCTTTTTTAAGCTGCTTGACTACCATTGGTAGGATTACACATCGAGACTCTACGTA